GGGGGGGGGGGGTTATCGCAATGTATTCAAAAATAGGGACATGGTGCATTTTCTCCAGATTCAGTCACTCGATCGATGCCTTCAAAAGTATTGTAATCCTGGATACCAGTTTATCAGTCAACTTGGGAACCCACTCGCCATTGTCCTGGAGTGTTTGCTAATCTTGACCTCTTGTCAGTGGGTGATAATGACGTTGATTGGCTGACATGCATAGCTAATTTTTCGGCCAATGGATGACAGTTGTGCAGTTCTCACAGCCACTATATCAACTGACAGTTACCATAGACAACAGGAAGACTATGCTGGAATATTCCTTCATTCCATACTTCCAGTGTACAGTGGAAGGTTGGGTGCTGATCAAGCCTTTAACAGTATGTAGAAGGCCTCTCAAATTGGGCCTTGAATTAGCTCGGGTGTGTAGATGACTGCAACCTAGACTTGCTTGCAGTCCGTCGCGATTTCGCTAAAAATTCTTGAAAAATAAATATAAATTGCATTAACGAGGGGTGAACGTGAAAGTCATGTTACTGCGAAATCCCAACAGACTTGCCATCAGTGTAAGCGCACTCACATTACCGGCCAAATTCAGGCTTGTAAATGCCTGTGTTTACTTGTCGCACGCTATGTTACCATGTTGTTGACGCCAACAAAATTGAGTAAAACAACCATTGTTTCTCCGAGAACACAAGAACTTCTGTATTGTGTGCAGTCTTGACATCGTAAAGGCAGACGACAGGTAAAAATTGCTTAACTGGCAAGAAGACCCTTGCTTGCAAGGAGATTGAAGTCGTTATTGGCGAGGTTGTTCATCCGCTGTTGCAGACAAATATCACCAGTCGAAGTTGTTTAAGGAAGGCGACGGCTATCGCAAAAAATATCCCCAATTTGAAAAAGTTGTGTATGGTTTCCGGGGTCTCAGTTGATCAGTTAATTAGCCTGGCTTCTGATTGGTTGAAACATATGAGACATGTCAATCATTACAAGCCCAAATCTGGTCGGTAATGCGAGGGCGCTTACACTGATGGCAAGTCTGTTGGGACTTTCGCGTTCACCTCTCGTTTACGCAATTTATATTTATTTTTCAAGAATTTTTTATTGGAGTCGCAACAGACTGCAAGCAAGTCTAACTGCAACCCAGACATATACCACAATGATAACTCAGGTGTATAGGTGACTGCAACACAAACATATACCGCATAGTATTTATTAATATTTGCACATTTGCTCACATAAATGTGAGTCCAAGGCCTGGGAGCTTAAAATGGGTTTCCTGAACAAGGTAATGTGAATGAGTGGTAGACCTGTGCTAATAAAATCTCTTCAAAATACAATGGATTGGTAGAGTTATAATTAAGTTACCTCTTCAGGGTTTTGATTTTGGTGAGTGACAGGCAAGTGATAGATGACTGACAGGCGAGTTATCACTTGGGTCTGGTGTAATAATGATCCAGCTTAAAAAAGGTGTTAGGTTATATGTACTTCTATTGGACACACATTTCTAATAAAGCAAATGCGGTACATACAATAGAAGGATAAATTATGTAACCTCATAAGCAACTGTTACATTATTACAAATGACTCGGTTCTCCCATGGTGACTTATTTTAATAACAGGTGCTCACATGCAGTGCAATATGAACCATATTCTGTCTTTCCAAGCTGAGAGCTAATTAAAGCATTTCCCATCAGAAACTCAGAAGGGGGGGGGGATAAAACCGTGAACAATATCTTTTCTGTCATTTAGTTTTGAGTTAGATTAGTTTCTGTGCTATATTTGTTTACTTTTCCTCTATTGTCACACCCCCAATACATGCAGGATATTTTTTTTTTTAAGTTAACCCCTCCCTCCAATTAAAAACTACCGTAAAATCTGTATTAAGAGCCGCATTCCTAATAGAAGTCGCACCCATTCTTTTTGAATAATTGAGAACCAAAAATTCATCATTTCTCATATGTGTAGATGCTCTAATAGAAGCCGCATTTCCTTGGTTGCATTGTACCATTTTAATAGAAGCCGCGGCTTCTAATACAGATTTTACAGTACTAGTTTGATTTTTTAGGGTATAACTTTTACATTGAATAAAATCAAAGTAAAAATGCAAGAAAACAACAATTTCTTTTTTATCACACACAAAATCATCAATAACAAATCATTTTTATACAGCAAATATCGTCTGTGTTTAGAGATCGTCAGATTGATGTTATACTGTACTACTGCACTTGCTTTTATTATTAATAGCACATGTGCTTATATAAATCACAAAGGTGAAAATAAGTAATATCAGAGGTACATTACTTGGGGTTTGCAACTACAGTGACATGATACCAAGATCCCGTTTCAATCTCGCTCTCACATAAGTGTTCCAACTCAGAAAAATTCGAATGTGCATGCCCGAGGTAACTAGGATACCGGGATGTCCAGGTGGATCAAAATAGCTGCTCACGATATGACGGATTACGATAACTATATTTTCAGTACATTTTCGATGTATTACATTTTTTCACTATGAATGTGGTAATACATGTTTTATTGTTTTATTACAAACCGCCTATGTCATGTCACAAGATCGTAGCACCTGTCTCGCTGTCTACGAGATGAGACTTGAATGGGATCCTGACATGATGTCACCATACAGTACTATGCAACATTGCAAACCCCAAGTAATGTACCTCTGGTAATATTTAAATATTTCAGTATACATAACATAATTTTGGGCCTATATTCGCTAATATCTCTGCTTCTATTAGAGATGTGCCTGACAGAGTGAATATGGTGTATTTAATTTTATTCAATTAACTTCAAAAGTGGCTATAAAAGTTTACACAACCAAGAAATGCAGAGAGCATATATTAACACTACATAATAGTTGGGCTTAATATCCACACAACAAACAAACCAATTCCTTTTATTTTCATAATTATTTATAAATTTCACAATTCGAACTGAAACTGAGGTTTCTATTGGCTGATGGAATAACATTGGAACATTTTCATTGTGTAATGTGCACATTGATTGGCTGGTTCTAATGCTATTGTAATCTATAAAAACAAAGAGAATGGGTTTGTGGTGTCAATAGTACTAATTTCTAATAATTTTAATTAAAATCAACAAACATAAGCTTAAATTAGATGTGATGTGAACATAATCTTAATCATCCCTGGACAATAATTACCCATGAAGCTTTGTACAAAATGGCCAGCCTACTCGTTAACTACTAACTCACCTCTGAATATTCTCTCATGAAATCAAATTTTCATAACTACAAATAATAAACAATAACTTTTTTTATTTTCTGGCTTGGAAAATGAGAATTTCCTAAAATATCATTGGGAATATGTGTTGGTTTAGAATAATGCTGTAAAACTATTTGTTTTTACCAACATTTAATTTCACTATTTTGATCTTATTTACTCGGGTTTTAAGTTCAAGAATTTGCCAGGGAAACAATGAATTATACATGTCTGTTATTTTACATGTTCGTGTGGATTTAATTTTAATAGTGAATTTTGCTTATCAATGAAAATAAAACCAACTGAATAATTAATGCTTTTACAGTAAATACTCAAACTGTTGTAAAGAAGGTGTTTACATGTAGGTACAGGGATTTATTTCATTTGGTCATGCAACACCTAAATCTCAATCAGTATCATTTTCTACTGCCTTTCAGTCTAGAAAATTATTAGAGAATGCCCTTTTGAAAGCTGTGCCTTAAAGGTGTATTGTTAGTAACATTTGACATGTGAAATAATAAAAAAAAAAAAATATGCTCATTAAATATGCATAATAAAATAAATACAGTTATGGTATTCACACTATCGTGTATTAACACATTCTTGAGTTATTGATCTGTGTTGGAAGATTTCCAAATTCCTTCTTCTGAGTACTTCATAGTAATTATGCAATCAGACATGAATGTTTTGATTCTACACTTCCTGGTTGCAGCTGTGTAGGTGGATTGACAATAGCATCCAATCGTTTCTCTAGTGTATCTAGTACTGATCGCGGCAGAAGAGTTACATGTTCTTTCATGATTTCTCGGTACTGGATAACCACATCCATACAAGATCTCAGAAGAGACTTTGGCGTGAAGTGAATATGGAAAAGGTCATAGCAGTGATCACTATCTTCGGAACCAAGTATGTTATTTTGACACCCAGCAAAAATGATGACTTCCCCACCAACATTAGTGGACACTGCAGTATGCCATAATCTTGGCCTCCATGGTTGTTCTAACTGTGTCCATATTAGAGTTTGCGTATTCAACACCCAACAGTCTCCTAATGTCTTACACTCTGTGTCGAATCCACCATAGAGCAACATATGAATATCTGTCACTCGAGTAAAGGAGTGCCAGGAACGTCCACATGGTACATCACTATTACATTCAAGTTTTTCGCTCCACTGAAATGTATCCAGGTTGAGAGAATACAAATCGTTTATACGTGTCTGGTTCAATCGGCCGCCGAATATATACAACTTATTTCCAATCACATCCCCAGCATGAGCGGCCCTTGGTGATGGAGTCTCTCCAATGGTACGCTGCTCTGTCCAGCAATTAGTGTCTATATCATACACGAATAAATGATTATTCCAGCCACGTCCACGATCGGGCGCCCAACTTGTCGTAGTGTCCCAAAACCACTGCCCGAACATTGCTTTGCATCTAGGTTCTGGCCCAAATCCACCAAAAACATAAAATTTATTATTATAAATCCAACTGAGTGCTTTGTCTCTCGGGCTTGGCAGGTCACCTTCCGGCTCCATTAAGGTCCATTTTCGTGTTCTAAAATTCAAGCAGTACAGCCTATCAGAGTTGCCCTCTCTTCCAAATCCACCAAAAACATAAAGAGTATCATGGGAAATGGCACAGCAGGCACCAGACATACCTGGTGGCAACTGGTCTCCGTCCAATGTTTCCATTCTCCAGCTTTCCGCTTCAATGGAATAAATCCACAGTTCATGATTGTCCAAATATCGATCGCTCGGGATTGGCCCTCCAGGTAATTCACGGAAGCCACCCCAAGTAAACAGATCGTCCCTGTATATACATGATATATGACCGCTCCTAGGTAAGAGTACTGGCGGCGTCCTCGGCTGTCGTAATCGCACAGGGCTGTCACTGATTCCGTTGGTGTACTCAACAAAAACACCGTTGGACATTTTGCTTCGTGCTTTATCCTGTTACGTAATCACAAAGACGTCACGAAGGCCAACTGGGCTGCAAGGAACCGATTATGTCGAGCTGACGTCAGAAAATGAAATTACAGGGAAGCCACGCAAACAAATCAATAAATTAATTAGGCGACGGTCACAAATACATTTATCTTAGGTCGCTGAGAAATGTTAAGAACATGTTCAAAACGATTCATCCAGATCTGGCGCTGAAACGTGCGAGAAAACTATAAAATATACCACGAAGGTCCGTGAACTGAACGTGTGAAATTTATGTTGACGTGAAAAGTCGATTAGATGAATGTTTTTTACCGCCCCCAACGTTTGAGGCCAAAGGTCAACAGAGTTGTCAACGTCATGACAGATAGGTTTATCGCTGTGTAAATATTGCGCTTTGCTTGTGAAATTACATGTACAGCTTTTGTCAGTGTCCAACTATGTTTGTTTCACAACAATAACCGACGTGGAATGAGGTATTTCCATAGGTAAGTCCTGCATTCTGTGTAAATAGTACTGAAGTCTCCGGTCGCTATTTTGGTCAATGGGGTATTTATTTATTCATTCATCTACATCAAGTACGATCACGAATAATCAATGCTATAATGCGTGGAATATAATAGAATATAGAATTTTGATGCAGATTATTTTTTCACCCATTTAACAGGATATGCATTTTTAAAGTTGAGATTTTATGCTTTTCTGCTTACTTCAGGTTTCTGTACATATTTTACATTTTTTTTTATTTTTTCAAAACTGCTTCTACAGGGTACTCCGAATTATTTAAATTCATGGATAAATCACAGTAGTTGACCGTGTGACTAAAATTGGAGGTTACCCATTTGAAAACTGGTAGCGTGGTGGTGGAGGAAATTTGTGCTTTCCAAATGTTTTATTGTACTTGTATGTGTTTATGATGTCTCAAAATCCTGCAGTCTAAATACTAGACCCTCTTATCATGACTGTAGATTGTATTGGATATAGTAATGTTAGTACGTTGCTTCTGTGTTGACAAATTGCACTGAACCATGGACTCCTATACACAAACTATCAGCAGGTCAATCTGGCAGACACTGTAGCCTAGTTTCCACGAAGTCTCACATATTACATCAATCTTACACCAAATATTGCCAACTCACATTCTCTAATAACATTGTACACACTTCCCAACAATGATAAAGTTTATATTTGTATGGTCAAAATATTTATGTTGAAACTCAAAACAGTGTTTATAACAATACACAAAGCACATATACAGTTCTGTGTTACATTGCTTTTGGATGTGAAATTCTGACATTTCTCTATTTGTCAAAGGTACGGGTATATCCCCAAACATGCCACAACTGTATACACACAATATGTATGGGTCTTGGCAAACACACACTCAGTGCGTGTATAGAGCAATCAAATGCAAATGTAACGGAAAACCAAAAACAGGACTGACCACATGATGGTTAATATTAATTAATTTGCATATATTTTTAATTTGAAGAAGATAATTGATACAGCTTTTTGTCTGATATATCATTTTGGGACTTAGGGTTACTTAGATACACAAACAGATTTTTTTACCATTTGGTTTTGACAATCAAAAATTATATTATCATTATACGGTAAGTGTTTTAAGCTCATCTAATAGTGAACATAGCCATATGCTGGTACTTGGAGCCAAGCCTGTGGGTAAGCCCGGTCTTATCAGAGAATTATATGAACTCAAGTCCTCTCATCTTCTTTATATTCTTTATTTGCTTAGTTAGAAGCATGTCTTTGAGAGAAGCGAATGAACCAAAATTATTTTTTAAATTTATCATTCAAAAATGAACTTTTTTTTGATCATAGACACTGTCATTTTATGTTAGAAAATGTGTACAATTATATCAAATACAGTACTGTACATTACTTTATTTTCACCTGGAATTTATTTTTTTGCTATTTTCACTGAAAAAAATGAATCAATGAATATATAATACAGCTATATTTCACATTCAACTCATACAAAATACATGGAGTGAAAATGTCTTTTCAGCGAAAATTAACCCGACCTAAAATAACGAATTTTACAGTATACTGTAAAATACTTTAGTTTAGCTGGAATTAATTTTTGCTGAAAAGACTTTTTGGATGTTTTGTATGGAATCTATTTTTCACTGATTTTTGATGAGTTGAATGTAAAATATAGAAAAAAAGGTACTGTAGACTACTTTATTTTTGCTTTGAATTTATTTTCGCTGGAGGGATAATTCCGTGAAAATAAAATCCAGCTAATATACTTTTCTTCCTATATTTCACATTAAACTGATCAAAAATCAGTGAAAATAAATCCCATACAAAAAGCCTTTTCAGCAAAAATTAATTCCAGCGAAAATAAAGTATTCCACAGTATATTCGCTGCATTTTGTTTTCACTGAATCATTCCTGTAGCAAAAATTAATTCCAAGCGAAAATAAAGTAAAGTATACAGATAATGTGCAGGCTTAGTGGTGCCAATAATAATTATAATATAACAACCATAAAAAATTACAACTATAGATAGATAGATTATCAGTGTCTGTCTCTTGTTGTATATTTGTAGTTTATTCTACAATTTGTATTAGCAAAAATAGCTATGTTGTGCTCACCATTTGAGGGCCAATTTTTTTTTTTTAAAAGTTTCGAGCATTAATATCAGTCACTTTGGTATTCAAAAGGTACAAATCATTGTGAATTTGTTTTGTTCATTTTTATCTGATTAACATTTGTAAGATATGATGAATTTCATCTGTTTTACTGAAATGTAGGATTTAACTTTTTTTTCTACAAAATAGTGTTTCATTCTTATTCATTATGATATCCACTGTTCCCTGACCTACTTAACCATAATTTTTAGAATACAACACAGGACAGGAGGAAATGGAACACTATTTGATGAAAAAAAATATATTCTTCCTCTTTAATTTTTAACAAGATCTCGTTGGCCATTAGCATCTATGGTCAATTGATGATGATGTATAATGGCCAGGTAATGAATATATATACAAATCCATCAGGTACACCTGAAGGATTCAGGTATTTTGTCATGTAAACATTTTGACAAAAATCTACTTCAATATCTGTCAATAAAAAATTGGAGACACCAGCCGTGATTCCAACTACAACATATTAAAAGTTTGGAAAACCTTGTATTCATGGTAATGAGCCTTACTACCCATTGTTTTTGTTCAGCTATGAACTTGAAGCATAATTTCTAAATAAATATACAAGTTAAATACAGTGTAAATTAATGAATAGATGTTTTTCTTTATTACAGTAAAGTGTGTCCAAAGTAACTCGGATATTCAAGAGTTTTATTTGACAAGGGATAATTGCGGAAATGTAAACATTTAAAAAAAAAATACACCACAAAAGACAGTTCACTACTGAAGCAAGAGTTGGATATAATCATGGCAGATTACAAAACACAGGGAAACATACAGCATAGAAAAGAAGACATTCTCTCAACAGACACAACATATGGATCTATTGATAGAGATCAGGGGAGAGATAACAGTGAATCACACAAACCAACAAAAACAAGTTTTACTGCAAATCAGAAGTGGACACTTTTTAGCATATCCTTGGCAAATTTTTCAGATTTTGTCAGCTATAGTATTTTGGCTCCATTTTTTCCAGAGGAGGTGAGTAGTAAAATGTTCTAATATTATTGGGAGATTACTGGAACTGACCCTTTATGTAAATACAGTTTTTATAGGAGTGTAAGAAGGGTGTAGTTGAAAATGTAACCCACTCTTGATCTTTTAAGCCACCCCCTTAAAACCAATAGTCTATCCCATACATAATACTAATTTTATCACCTCCATCATGAAGTCTATTTTTTGCTAGCTTTTATTTGTCTGTCTGTCTGTAAGCAGGATAACTAAGCAAAATGGTGGCAAATTCTCAGTATATTTTCAGAAGAGGTTAACTTAACAAGGAATCAAACCATTACATATTAAAGGAGATGTCGGTCTGGTTGCCATGAAAACAGAAATTTAAGAATGATTTTTCATTTATACTCAAAATGTTATGGATTGATTCTCATTAAATTTTCTCTTAACCAAGTGATAAGGTTTTGATAATACCAACGTGTTTACCTGTGAGAATATGACGCAAACTCAATAGGGTGGTCAAATCCATTGGCTCATTTTTATTCATCAGTGTATGCAAATTTGGCAGAACTCTAATTAAGTTTCATAGATGTTTGTGTTAAAACGGGTCAGGTTGATGCCAAGATACTGTAAATGTATTAATTATTCACTGGGTTTTAAGTAAGATCTGCTAAATTAAATCTACATGAACATGTAAATTACAATAAAACTAATTGTTTCCTTGAAAAATTTGTGAAATTAAAACACAGTGAATATGCTCCAAACATCAAAATAATGAAACGTCAGTGAAAATAAATCGTTTCACAGTACTGCTTTAAATTGACATTATGATAGCTTATGGTCACATAGCCTATAGTCCCAATCTTGGTACATATATTCTATTTTTAAGGAAGCAAGTATTCTATTTTATTGCAGGCTAACAAAATGGGAATGTCTGATTCTGTAGTGGGACTAGTATTTGGATGCTTCGCTTTGGTTATGTTCATAACTTCACCTGTATTCGGAAAGTTTGTAAGTATCGGTTAAAGCCAATAAATATTCATGTTTCAGGGCTTCACAGGCATCAATGGAAAATAGACAATTAAAAGCTGTAGTTTTCAAGAGTCATAATGAAAGCACAGTTTTGTTGACAATTTTAAAGATGCAATATGGACAAGAATATGTCATTTTTAACATTATTAATACTGTGTATTGATGAAAACATTGGGAGGTTATCACGAGAATACCGCAAAGTATGTGCAAAGGCAGTACAGTGAGTGCATACTTTATGGTATTATTGTAGTAATAAGTTATTGAAAGATTATAGCCCGAAATGACAAAGAAAAACATTTTGCGTTGTGTGAACGTTCTATGCCAGGATTCAATTCCCATCATGCATGGTTAATAGTGCTGCTTCCAATGTAAACAAATGAATGAGTAACGTTACTCGTTAATAACATGGAACACATCAATAGTGGTGACAAAGTTTACCCCAAATTATGGAACATTTGAATGTTCAAATGACTGCTGATACAACTTTTAATGGAACGGTAAATCTGATTGTTTTCGTTGCTAGAAGTCTAATAAGAACATTTATTGTGACCTGAAAACGTTGTAGCACACATCTGAGTATTTGTTCAATAAACAAACAAAATCTGTAATAAACATGTCTATAATATGGTTGTTATAGTACATGGCAATCAAATGCAACATTTTTTAGTTCATGAATCATGATTTGGTCTACAGTATGGGGTATATGTTTTCATCCATTTTGCATCTTTTATATAAAAATAACAAGAAATAATTTGAACAGAAATAGTTGAAACATTTTTTCTGGGTTCAAGTTCAGGTTTTTATGAGGTTGCTTGTCTGCGTATCTTTCTGTCATCAACTGTTTTGTGCTTATGACCATTTGTAATAGTGGTATTTTGCACAATTTACATGAAATTAATGGAGTTTTTCCCAGAAGGGGACATTACTTAAATGAAGAGCCGACATAAGATAAGACAAGCAGGTATGCTCATTGGCGATTGCCTCGTTCGAAAAAAAAATTAAAACAAGATATGTCTTGGATTTTGACTCAAAAATTTGTACAAGGATATGGCCAAAACGTTTTTAGCCATTGTCATAGCAACAGAAAGACAGAACTATTTCTTTTCAAGTTTATACACCTTTCGAGAGTGCAGGTGTGAAAAGTTACCCTAACTTCGAGGTCAAATTTCTCCGTAATGAAAAATGGTATCAAAAAACAAATAATAACTTTGAGCCTACATTCAAGCCGAGAATGAGATATGTCAGAAGTTTTTATTCCAAGATTTGTAGGAGGAGATACATTAAGTGCGTACATTTAGTACATTTGGTTGTTGCCATGGCAATGGTGAGCCAGGAATTTTTTTCAATTTTACGACCAAACTAGAGCAAAGGTGTGACCTCCTGGCAAGTTTGAATGAATTTGGCTCAACCAAAAAATCACAGAAAAGTTAACATATGAAAATGTCACACACACACAATCCTAGTGGAGTAGATTGCCAACATATAAGAAAATATGAATAAAAATTTTTGCACCCAATAAATAACCGGAAATTACTGATCTATAATTAAAAAGTTTGTAAATTGAATTTCATACATGAAAGTAACTAGACACTGGAATATTGTTGATACATGTAAATCTGTATCATCAGATTTAGTTACCGGTAGTATTAATTAGTATTTTTTTTTTTTTTTTTGTAGCTCACAAAAATTGGTGTAAAGTTTATGTTTATTGCAGGCTCTTTTACATGTGGAGTTTGCTGCATAATTTACGGGTAAGTCAACGATAATATCAATTAAAGGTGTACATGATATATGACAAATATTGTATATTGCTAATATATTTTCATTGCCTGATTTATTTACTTGTCTTTATAGGTTTCTTATAAGACTGGATAAGGGAACGGAATTCATCGTATTTTGTTTTGTAGTACGATCGATTGAAGCTGTCGGGTCAGCGGCTTCAGCGACTGCAGCTTTTGCAATTATTGCGAAAACTTTCCCAGAAAACATTGCAACAACATTAGTAAGTAATTTAAGTCGTTCTACAGCATGTGTTGAAATTCCATGTAAACAAATAATACACACATTGTATATGTCACATGGGACTTGTACAATTGTAGCATTTTTAATGTCTTATTAATTAATGTAATTCGCTTCAATTTCAGTGAAGTAAAAATGACAAAATTGTGATGCCATGTAAAATTGTTTCATGATATTTACTTGCGAAAATCTGTCAATAACGTTGTAGTTTTACAATAATTTTAATCAGAACCACATGGTTTTTTGGAAGACAGTGATGATCACTATTTTGGCTACACTCTAACAAAAAGTTTTGTGCCAGTTTTAAAGCAGGAGAGTCGTCACCAGCGCACGTGCAGGAATTGAGTCCCAAACAACGATAACAACACACTCAAAAAAACGCAAAGACTCATGGGTAGACGCTTGTTTGTAAACAATGACACGCTATGGCCATCTGACGTATGCGCAGGTGATGACTCCCCCGCTTTAAAAAAACAGGAATATTCTACACCAGTGCATTATTAACAATTAGAGATTGCCCACATACATAGTATTAAGTGTTATATTTTCAGCATTAAAAATATGTGTGTTTTGTGAGGACAAAAATTCACTATTAATAGTCTTAGTACTGCCAGCAAGGTTTATAATGTTTGTATGTGTACCTAAATGTATGGTGCCCCAATTATTTAATTATATCTGTTCAGGGTGTTTTGGAGATATTCAGTGGGTTAGGATTTATGCTTGGACCCCTTATAGGAGGATATCTATATCAGGTAATCATAGTAGCACATATCAATATCACAGTTCTACATAGTTTTATTTTAGATTCAGTTTGATAATGTCCACTTCACATAGTTTGATGATGTCACATTTCTACTTCACATGGTTTGATGATGTCACATTCCTACTTCACATGGTTTGATGATGTCACATTCCTACTTCACATGTCTTGAGGTCACATTTCAACTTCACTTATTTGATGTCATTTTTCCAGTGCACATGGTTTGATGATGTAATATTTTAACTTCACATGATTTGATGATGTCACATTCCTACTTCACATGTCTTGAGGTCATATTTTAACTTCACATGGTTCAATAATGTCACATTTTAATCTCACATGATCTCACATTTCTACTTCACATGTTTTAATGATGTAGTAGTTGTAAATGGTTTGCCACAATTCTAGATCACATGGTTTGATGATGTCTCTTAAACTGCAAAGTATTTTGAGTTTTTGATCAGTTTACTGTATTTTATCTTATTTTTTTCTCAGGTTGGAGGTTTTACTTTGCCATTTTTAGTGCTGGGTATTTTCACCATAGTGATCACTCTTTGCAATATTTATATTTTACCAAGACAGCAAGGTGAGTATCACATATTTGCAAGCATCTTCAGATATAAAATGTAAAAATCCAGTTTATGGTCATCACACAGTAATGTTGCAAATACCTTTATTTAGGTTTTGGCTCAGAATTTAAAAAAAGTAATTTAAAAATTTCTGACACACAGAAATTTCATGTAATTTTGCATTCTTTAATTGGTGAAAATGTTTTTTTTCTCTGAATTTTGAGTCTTTGTTGTGTGCATTTTGACTTTTAATTCAAAATGGCCACTATAGTATAGTTTATCTCTCAAAAATTATTATAGTCATTGTTTCCATGGAAACAAGCTCAAATATCACGATCTTTTATTCAAATTTGGCTGTCAATTGTATTATATTTTGTTCTAGAATGTAAATTGCTTTTTGTATTTTTATTTAAAATAAGATATTGCCATCTTTATCATGGTATATTTGGTGGATAAACGTGCCGTTCGATCTCTACAACACAACAAGTTCTTCTCAATTTTTCAGATGAAGGTACACTTAAATCAGGTTCAATGACAGAATTTTTGAAAATACCGTCCGTTATTATGACATCACTTTGTGTGTTAGCGGGATCTGTGGCGTTGAGTTTTCTAGACCCGACTCTAGCAAAGCATTTAAATCAGGTGAGTCATAAAATATTTAGGCTTTGCCGTGCACATTTATTTAACTTATTTAACTTTTTATTTATTCAACTTTCGCCTACTTACTTTTTTAGTTATTCATTATTAACTTTATTACATTTTAAACACCAAATTAGAAATGTAAAATTTTCTACACGGTTGTAATAAAGCTGTTATCTTATCTTATCTTATCATTGTACCGGTAACTCTTGACATGTTTAACATATTGTAACCATTAACACGTGTACACTATTGTCAGTTTCATCAAATTTCATGTCTGTTGAATATGCTGAAAATATTAAAAATTTTACTCCATTGAGATTAACAGATTCAAAGAAACTACATACATTATCAGGTGCAAAAATCGGGTTAATCACAGCTATTCAACTTAATAAGGGGGTTACAAAATTATCAACATTTTTTGAGTATTATTTAATTATTGAGTTGGACATATGTCATCAACTTTGCAGGATTTTTTTCTAGTATGAATTTTTTTTAATGAAAAACCTAAAAATATGCAAAAAGTTTCATTTTTAGAATAATTTCCATAGGGATTCATGATAACAAATTTCATAGAATGAAAATAAATCCAGTAATTATAAAAATTTCCTCTTAATTCATAACAACCATAAGTGTTTCTCTTATGATATTTTCATCATATGTAATAACAAATTTGGAGATATGGTTATATCTTTATATGAATAAACCCCTTGCAAACAAATATTTTGCCCCAATTTGTGCGGTGAATGAATAGAACAATGACAATTTTTCGTCCTGACCAGAAAATTCTGTTCCTTGAAATAATTAGGCATCAATGTTTTTGTAAGATACCGGTAATTACATCAATCAAGGACTTTTTGTAGACTGCCGCTCCACTGCTAAAACTTGTTTGTATTCAAAATTAAATATGACAACGCATATTCATATTAAAACTACTATGATAAATGAAATAATATTATGTAACAAAGGGCAAGGTCACCAGAGTTTAACCATGTCATCTAGACTTGTAAACAATAGTGATAAAATCATATTCCAAGATTCAAGGAAATCCAATCAGTTGCCCTGATGTCCCAGGAGTTTGCCTTGATGCCTTTAAAAAATTAAAAAAATTAAATCAAAAAATCATCCATACTATTCCTATAGGCTACATTTTTGTAGTAAAAGCCATTTAATCAAATTTGGGCAAAGTCATCGCAGCATGCTTACGAATTTTGTGTAAACAAGTACATTACATGAGAACAATATCGAACACATGCGGCACGACGACAATTGCCCCCCTATCTATAAAATAAACTTATAAAATAAACAATTATATAAATTATATTTAATCAAACACGTAATAGTTCTTTTTCATTCTTTATTTGAAGATTTGTTTGAATAAACTATGAAATTATATATACAGGACCTGACTAGTTCTGATGAACTAGATCTGTATTCCTCACAAAAAAAGAAAAGTACTCTTAGTAGAATTCATTATTTATTTATATACATTTAATTTTACATTTTGGTGAAATTAAATTTCATTTATTCATTCATTTCTATCAATTTCCAGTCTGCCTCATTATTTTTTTTTATAAATTCTGAATAAATAATGTAGAAGCAGATCTTTTGTAAAGGTTTCAACATTAACATATATGTACCATTTTCTCTTTTCTATTTGCAGTTTAACTTCAATTCTACGACAGTTGGCCTGATGTTTTTAATAATGGCAGGGTCATACACACTGTCAGCATTCTTTTGGGGTTGGATTACAGATAAAAAGGTAACAACCATTGTGTGAAATGTTTCTGCAGTTTTACATCTGCTTTGAGTATATGAACATTATTTATTATTATTTGTTGGTTAATTTGTGCATTTGTCGTATATTTACTATCACAACAATTACAATTAAGTTTTCTAAAAATACAGTACATAGTGTCATAATACCACAGTGCTTGCGGCAGTTTTAGTATACACCCCCCCCCCCCCACACTGGCAACGCTGCTGTAAAGACTGTTCACCACTCAGGTACCACATCGATCATGTCATGGTGCAACTTAAATCTGCGAGTTACACCACGGGTTTGATCGCTATGACACCTGTACGTGAGGGAAAATACCCCAACCCTTATTTACTGGCAACATTGTGTGTTATTTCCTCTGTCCTGTCCCTCATACAGACCTGATATCTTAATGTATTCTTGGCACCCTTCAAAGATTAAAGATATAACACACAGGAACAAAAAAAATGTGCTCAAAAAACATAGACATATAGATTATTAAAATTAATCAAATTAGTAGATATAGCAGGACGACAGTGGAGCACTTACTATTACATTTATCTATTTTTACCTACTAAAGTACTCAGTACTTGGAAACAATGACTTTGTGATTTCCCAGTGTGGCCATTTAATATTGAAAATATATCATGTATTAACAGGTTCATCTTGGTGATGCAATTTCAATAGTTGCCTTTTAAATTTATTTTGTAAAATCCTGTTACTCTCATAAAATGAAAAACATCTCATTATATTATTACTACAAGCAGGAGAAAGATGTATAATAAAAAGGTTATCACAAGAATACCGCAAAGTATGCACTCAGGCAGTGAAAGATTACTTCGACCTATGCATTTATGCACACTTAGTATTTATGTGATACCTCATATCACAAGAACAAGATATATGTTCAGTATTTAACAATTAATAAATACAGTTTGTATACATGTATTATAAGTTGATTGAATCAGGGTGATGCTTGATACATATTGACATTTTATTAATAGCAGATGAGATGAGACATTATTTAAATTTGTTTTGTTTTCACACAGAATATTCCTAAGTTATTGATGATAATTGGTAATATTGGCTGTGGTGCTGCATATCTCTATTTAGGACCAACACCTCTCTTCAATGTTAAAACGTAAGATAAGAAGAGGAATTCGCCTCAGTCAACAATGCTCTCTTCAGGATGAGTTAACCTTAAATCTATTGTGACACTATAGATATTAAAATCATTATATTTATTATAGTTCCTCTTTCATTCTAACAATTAAAGCAAAGGTTTTGTAGAGAGTGACTAGCATTGATTTTCAAAAGTTTATTGGCAGATACGAGTTTTGCGGTTAATTAACAAAAAAACATTTCATTATGATATATGGCGTTGTGGTGTACATCTTGATTGTTTGTCACTCATTTGTTTAGACTTAATTTTCTGGAAGGGGATTAAGCTGTTAGACAAATCCAGAGTGCACACATACAACACATATTATGGTATGCCTCTTGCACATCATTCTGTGCTTAAACTTAAAAATATTTTTTTTCAGTGAACTATGGATGGTTATATTTTCTCTGGTTCTTCTTGGCTTGGCTGTTGGTTGTGCACTAGTACCCACATTTACAGATATGATTGGTACAGCCAGGTAGGTATTAAAAAAATGCCATCCTTATGTACCAAGTACTTGTTTTAAAACACACTATTGTATGTAAAATAAAATAAAATTATGAACCATACAGAATCATATCACGTGTTAACTGAGACTAGTAGTGGGAGGGGCGTCAACAAATTTACCCTGAGGGATAAGGGCAGGATGGGAATATTTCAGATGTCGTCTGAGTGATCAGAGTGGGATGGAACAGAATTCTGTGAACTATAGGCAATGTAGCTGGTAAGCCATCTGAGTGATCAAGGCAGGATAGGACATTTGTCAGTGAATTATAGGCAATATAGCTGGCAAGCCATCTCAGTGATCATGGATGGATGGGAGATAATTCTGTGAACTATTGGCAATATAGTTGGAATGCCATCTGAGTGATCTGGGCAGAATGGGACATACTTTAGTGACTTATAGGCAATATAGTTGGAATGCCATCTGAGCAGAACAAGACATACTTTAATGAATTATAGGCAATATAGTTGGGAAACCATCTGCTTGAAACCCTGGCTTTATTATTGAAGATAGGATTCTTGGAAAGTTTGAAAAAAGCAACTTATGTGATGCAATTACTATCAAATGTTTCCTCAATACATATGATTACACATTTTGAAAAGCTCAATCATTAGACGATGTGTGTGTAATATATCCTGCAAAAAGTTAATAATAACTTTATTACACTACTAAAAAAACCTTCAGAGGGTTTTTGTATGGTAAGGAACATAAATACATACAATACATAAGAGATAAAAATAAAATGTTAGTAAAATAAAATAAATTAATTACTTTCTGTGGTTTTAAAAATTGTGCTCTTTAAGTATTTTGCTAAAGCTATATTATTCTCCATAATCTTTTTAAATATGGAATTCACATCCATTGTGTAAATATTTATTGAACACTCATCAAACAGTTTTTTTCTTTGTTCTATATAGCCAGTACAAAATAGCAGGAAATGTTTTTCATCTCCTAATGCTTTAGTGTTACATTTATTACAGTGTCTATTTTCTAATTCTATTTTGGGCT